GGTGATGACGATGCTGCTGCTGATGATGATGATGGTTGTTCTGGTGGTGATGCTGCTGCTGATGATGATGTCGATGGTGATTGTGATGATGATACTGCTGCTGATGATGACGATTCTGATGATGGTGATGCTGCTAATGACGATGATGATGATGACGATGACGATGACGATGATGATGATGCTGCTGATGCTGATGCTGATGCTAATGATGATAATTATGATTATGACGAGGATGATGCTGATGAGGATTATGATACTGCTGCTGCTGATGATGTCGATGGAGACCGATGGTGGTGAGGATGATGCTGCTATCGTTAATGCTGCTGCTGATGATGATGCTGCTGATGATGATGATGAAGATGATGATGATGATGATGATGATGATGATGATGATGATGATGATGATGATGATGATGATGATGATGATGATGCTGATGCTGATGCTGATGCTGATGCTGATGCTGATGCTGATTCTGCTGATGATCATGAGGAGTACGAGGGGGAGGAGGAGGAGTAGGAGGAGGAGGAGGAGAAGGAGGAGAAGGCCCTGATGGTGGCCACTTCGAGCCAGAGGCGCCGCACGAGGCGCCGCCAGGGGGCCGTCGCCGATCCAAGAGCTCCGCGCGGAGGGTGTCAAAGAACAACCTCTGACAGCTTCTGTTTATGGCGTGCTTCTTTATTACATTTCGTCGGCGAGCGAGGGGGGGACGTGAGAAGGGGCGGGCCTTCTCAGAAGTCTCGGACGCCCCCAGTCTTCTGAGAAGTTTTCTCAGCATTCCCCGGCGACGGAACAAACTTATCTGAAGGCGCGAGGGCTTCTGAGAAGTCCCGCCGCCTTCTGAGAAGGACTCCTCCTCACTTCCCCCCTCGCTCGCCGCCGAACATTGCTTCCTTCTGGCATTCACGAAGGATGTCAAAGAACAACCTCCGACAGCTGATGCTTATGCCGTGCTTTACTATTAACATGTTTCCTCTGGCATTGACGTTGTAAGAGCCACCGCTCCTGGTGGTCGTCGATGGGCTGTGCGCGACGGCCGTCCCGCGCGCCTATTCGTTGTTCTGAGGAGACCTGTCACACGGAGAAGCTGCACTCTCATAGCGCCGCTTCCATCGCCTCGAGCAGGCTTGCCACGCACGTCCAGCAAACGTTGGAAGAGGGCAGGGGAGCATCGATGGTAGGCACAAGCAGTCATGCCCGCTGTCGGACCGCGGCTTCGAAGCTAAAAGGGAGCGAGCGTCCTTTTCAAAAGCAGCGAGATTAACACCGCCTTCCCTGACGCTCATGATGGAAGGCTTCTTTCCAGGCGAAAGCTGGTCGAAGTTTGGAGGGTGCTGGTGGGAGTGCCTGTCAAGAGAGACAACGCCAGTGTTCCGAGCCCGTCGAAGCCGGCCCCGCAGCCACCTCGTCATCGTGTGATGACTATAGCGGGACCAGGCGGTACAAGCAGTACGCACCAGCAACAATACCCAACCTGCCAACATGTTAATCTGAGAAGATCTCGGAGTCAGAGAAACGACTGGCTTCGGACTGTGCAGCCCATTGGCGTTGGAACGAGCCGCCAGTCCCCCCCCAACCTGCTACTTTCCACTCCTCCTTTCTCCTCCCGAAGGCGAATAGAGCAGCATACGCATGAACTCTCGAAGGTCCACGCAGACATTCGAAAGTGTATGTGGATGTAGTTGTTTATTCGTCCACCCTCTCTACGTTCCTCTCCTTCTCTCCTCCTTCCTCCCTTACCCCACAAGCGAGGGCAGGTGCTGCGATGTCGCTGCGGGCAGGGGTGTGGTCATGGCTAAGTCTCTTCGTGGCGGTGGGCAGCCTCGGGAACGAATCCTCGAGCCTCCTGAAGCTGGTGAAGACGACAGGAGCTGTAAGAATGGGTGACTGTGCGTGCCAGAGAAGGATGGTGATGGCTAGGCTGACCTTTATTAGGGTAATGGTGACGCTGATGATGATGGTAATGCTGATGATGATGACGATGATACTGGTGCTGTTGATGAGGATGCTGATGATGATGATGATGATGATGTCGATGACGATGGCGATGCTGCAGATGGTGATTATTGTGGTGATGGTGGTGGTGGTGGTTATGATGGAGATGACGCAAACGACGACGATGGTGATGATGCTGATGATGATGACGCTGCTGATGCTGATGTTGTTGTTGCTGATGCTTCTGATGCAAGGGTGCGACGAGACGCCTTGGCCAGATGAACTGGGCCAACGAACCCCGGTTCGCTGCTGCGGTTAATGATGATTATGATGCGGATGATGATGATGATGATGATGATGATGATGATGATGATGATGATGATGATGATGATGGTGGTGATGATGATGATGATGCTGATGATGATGATGATGATCATGATGCTGATGATGATGATGATGATGATGATGATGGTGCTGATGCTGATGCTGATGATGGCGATGATGATAGTGCTATGCTGCTGCTGTTGCTGCTCCTGATGATGATGCCGGTGATGCTGATGATGCTGATGATGATGCTGATGATGATGATGATGATGATGATTATGATCAGCACGCCAGTGACGAAGATACCGATTACGATTCTCATTCGGATGCTGATCATCCTGGCGATGCTGACGGTGATAACGATACTGATGTTCATGATGATGGTGATAACGATGTTCATGCTGACGATAATGCTGTTTCCGATGATGTTTATGATGATGCTGCTGATGCGGATGATGCTGCGGATGATGATGCTGCTGATGATGATGATGATGATGCTGATGGCGATCATGCTGGTTGGCATGATGATGCTTATGATGGATTGTGGTGGTGGTGGTGGTGGTAATGATGATAGATGGTGATGCTGCTGATGATGATGATGATGATGATGATGATGATGATGAGAATGACGAGGATGGTCATGCTGATGCCGCTGATGAGGTCGACGATGATGCTGATGACGATGCAGATGTTGATTATGCTGTTGTTGATGATGATGACGATGATGAGGGTGACGATTCTGATACAGATGATGGTGCTGATGCTGATGCCGATGATGACGAGGCTGATGATGATGCTGCTGGCGATTCTGATGCTGCTGATGACGAGGATGCTGATGCTCATGCTGATGATGAGGATGCTGACAACGATGATGATGCTTCTGCTTATGCTGATGCTGATGCTGATGCTGCTGATGATGATGGTGATGATGATGATGCTGATGATGATTATGATGATGCTGCTGCTGCTGCTGATGATCATGATGATGATGAGACCAGAGGGGAGGCAGCAGAAAGCTTGATGGCAAACATCGTTTCCCCGCCGATCCCTCAATGCCCGCCGCGGTGAGGCTGGACTACAAGCTGGTGCGATCGGGAAGTCGGCTCCGAGCAAGGCACGGGGTTGCGGGAGGACAGGAGGCCTAGCTCCATTTTCCTTCCCCTCGTCGACGTCTTCGTTGTTGTTGTCGACGTCCTCGTCCTCGTCGTCCTCCTCCTCCCCTGGGGCGTGGTCACGGAGCGAGGCATGGGAGGAAACCGCTTGGCAGGCGCGGTGACCATGGCGGCGGCGGGTGGGAACATTGTGAGTTGCGGCTTGGGTAGCCGTGGCGGTAGTTGCGGCGTTTGTGGTGGCATCTGTGGTTGTGTGCAGAGTCATTGTGGCAACGGCAGCGGCTGCAGCTAAGTAGCAGTGGGCAGAGTACGAATAGTATTATCACCAACAGTATATGTAAGAATGGCAAAGGCACTGCCAGCGCTACATGTACGAACATTTACGGTGCGCACGGTCGTTCTTGGGGCCATCATCCGTGCTATCATTATCCGCAGCATCAGTAGCAGCAGAGGTCACAGCAGGAGTGTAATCTGTTGCCGTGGCAGTAAATTCCAGGGGCAGAATCGGAGTAGCAAATGAGACGATTCCACAACGGCCGTTGTCTTGAATAGTGGCAGTTGCGGTCGTGGTGGTAGTGGTGGTGCCTGTATCGGCGGTTTTGGTTGTACACTCCGTGGAAAGACTAGTGGTAGTTGCAGCTGTATTGTTCCTTCCCTCTTGAACTAGAGGTAGTGGGGTGCAAGAAACTCTTCGAGCTTTGTCAGCATGTCTTCGTTTGAAGTGGTGACAGGGTGTTCGTCGCAGACGCTGGCGTTCTCGCTCCCTCAGTGGCAACGTTAGTGGGGATAGGATTCGGGGCGTGATGCGTCGACGTCCAATCGCCCACTGATCGCCGATAGGGGCCGACAGCACACCCAGCCCAGGTAAGTGCGGTTCGCTATCGGGGGCCTATCGCCGATCCATCGGCGATGTATTGCCGATTCCAGCTCGATGTTTCCCACCCGGTGCCGGTTCTGCTCTTCCCCTCCCTGACGTTCCCCTCGCTCCCCACGTCTCAGAGCTGATGTGTGTGGCACAAGAAGCTTCTCAGGGGGAGGTGGAGGTGGAAGCGGAGAACGAAGCGGAGGAGGAAGCGGAGGAGGGAGAAGAGGAGGAGGAGGAGGAGAAGGACGAGAAGGAGTAGTAGTAGTAGTAGTAGTAGTAGTAGTAGTAGTAGTAGTAGTAGTAGTAGTAGTAGTAGTAGTAGTAGTAGTAGTAGTAGTAGTCGTAGTCGTAGTCGTAGTCGTAGTCGTAGTAGTAGTAGTAGTAGTAGTAGTAGTAGTAGTAGTAGTAGTAGTAGTAGTAGTAGTAGTAGTGGTAGTAGTGGTGGTAGTAGTAGTAGTAGTTAGTAGTAGTTAGTAGTAGTAGTCGTAGTAGTTAGTAGTAGTAGTA